CAGCCTGGTCTACAACAGCTAGTTCCAGGACAGCTAGGACTGTCATACAGAGAAACCCTGTCTCAAAAAACAAAAACAAAAACAAAAAACCTATACACAAACAAACAAAAAACCTAACAGCTCAGAGGGTGGATGTTATCATCACCTTACAGAAAGGTTGTGACCCAAGGCTAGTTGGTGATCATGCCTCTTGGCTCTCATGGGGTCGTCATATAACTTGAAGAGGTGGGCCTGAATAACGTGAAGGCCAGGCTTCAGAAGAGAGGCTTTTTGGGGCTCCCTGCTAGCTGGGGGAGGCCAGAAAAAGGTAACACACTCTCGAGGTCTTCACCAGTGAGGCCCAGCATGCCACTACATTACCAAGTCTCCCTCTTCCTGCCTCAGCCTCATTTGGTTTCTCCCCAACTAGCTGTCCTTTCTGGGATCTGACTAATGCTGCCCTCTTTCCCATTTTCTCCACTGCTTTGGTCCAAGCCAAGCCACTGCAGTTTCCTGGGGGGTGAGGGAAGTGGCCTTACCAGTCTCACTGGGTGCCCTGCCTACCCTTCCATCTCTGTTGTATAGTGCCTTTTAGAACAGCCGATGGGTGACATCGCAGTGCTCAAAGCTTCCCTTCGTCTCATGTGCTTCCGCGACCCTGCCCAGGAAGGACTTCTGCCCATCTTTCTGAACCGTCAACGGTGCAGCACCGTTATTCCTGGTCCAGGTCCTGTGACAGGTCTTCTGCCTCTATCCTATATGTGGGCTGGTCTGGTCTTCCCAAATCCAAGGCTCACCTCTCCCTATACCCCCAGCCCCAAGTCCACTCCCTGGAAGTCTGCCCATCAAGATAAAACCAGCCTCCCATGCTTTGCACCCAGTGAACCCACCAACAGAGGTGCTTTCTTTGCTAACACTTAATAATCTAATCTACTCAGCGACGGGTAAAAACTGTTTGTCTGGAAACTCTACGCTACGGATAAAGGCAGAGCCTGTTCCCATCCTAGCACTAAACAGAGCTGCACACAGCTAGGGGGACTGACTGAGCACAGGACTCAGCCCCCTGTATCACCGTGAACGCCCTCCTAAACTGGTTCTTTCCCGGTTCCTCGGACAGCGAACCCATCTCCCTTCGCCGCCGGCGCCTCCATCCAGTGCTTACTTGGCTTTGAAGCGGCTCACTCCGGCCGCAGGCTCGGCCATGTCCGAGTACAGTCGATTCCTCCAAACTCAGCAGCCCTCCGCCGCGTGAAACAGACACCGCGCTGCTCTGTACTTCATGGCACGTTCTGATGACATCACGAGCTGCAACTACTTTGACGTCATCAACACGCGCCCTGGGAGACAACTTTACTGTGGGTACCAGCTATGGCGATCGGGACTGGAAGCTAAAAGCAGCAGCCAACTTGCTGAACGTCTTGCATTTTTTGACTACTTATTTGCTATTTTTTATTTATAATTTATTTTTATTTTGTCTTTCTATTTATTATTTGTTTTAATTTTGTCTTGATTTTTTCTTTTTCTTTCTTTCTTTTTTTTCGAGACAGGGTTTTCTCGCTCTGTTGATCAGACTGGTCTCGAACTCACGAGATTCACCTGCCTCTGTCTCTCCAGTGCTGGGATTTAAAGGTGTGGACTACCAACACCCCAACACCAGGCTGTCTTGTTTTCTTTTCATTAAAAAAAAAAAATTTAAACCGGACGGTGGTGGCGCACCCTGTTACTGCCCTGCCCTCGGGAAGCAGAGGCAGGTGGATCTCTGAGTTCGAGGCCAGTCTGGGTCTACAGAGCTAGTTCCAAGACAGACAGTGCTACACACAGACAAACCCTGACTCAAAAAACCATGAATAAATAAAATTTAATTTAAGTCAAGTAGTGGTGGCACACACCTTTAATCCCAGCACTTGGAGGCAGAGGCAGGAAGATTATCGAGTTTAAGGCCACCCTGATCTACAGAGTGAGTTCCAGGGCTACTCAGAGAAGCCCTATCTTGAAAAACAAAACAATTTAACTTAAGGAGAATTCTGGTTATGTATTCAGCTAGTTTTAGGCTGCTCTGGAACTGTGTGGTAGTCAAGGGTGGCTTCAGGCTCAAGATTTTTCTGTTTCGGTCTCTGAATACCATACCCTCAATTTATCATTAAGTGTGTATGTGTATGCCACATGACCTCCCACTCTCCATAGTGTGTGTGGAGATAGAAGACATGGAAGTAGGTTTTTTTCTCCCACTGTGTAGGTCTCATGAATGAAACTCAGATTATCAGATTTGGTAGCAGGTACTTAGTGAGCCATCTCTCTGGCCCAGGCCATTTAGAGGCAGGGTTGTTCTGTGTAGCTCTGGCTGTCCTAGAACTCCCTCAGGCTGGCCTTGAACTCTCAGAGATCTGCCTCTGCCTCCCGGGTTGTGGTGTGCACCATCACTGCTCATTCCAGGGATTTTATCTTAATGTGAATCTTTAAAAAGCTTCTGGCCTGGGCATGGTTGCAACGGCCTTTAATCCCTGCACTCAGGAGGCAGAACCAAGATCTCTTCAGAATTCAAGGCCTGCCTGGTATACAAAGCAAGTTCCAGGACAGCCAGAGTTATACACAAAGAAACTTTGTTTCAAAAAACAACAAAACAAAATCCACAAAGCTTTTATTTTAAACTGCCAGGGGTTTATCTTAGGTCAGGAGGGTGAGGATGAAGCCAGCTATCTTGGAAGGTCATTATCCTGTGATGGGTATTCTTGGTTGTCAACTTGACTACATCTGTAATTAACTAGGTTAGTTTCTTTTTTCTTTTTTTGGTTTTTCAAGACATGGCTTCTCTGTGTTGCCCTGGCTGTCCTGGAACTCACTATGTAAGAGCAGGCTAGCCTCAAACTCACAGAGATCTGCTTGCCTCTGCTTCCTGAGTGCTTGGATTAAAGGTGTGGGCAGCTACCACCACCCTACTTGTTGAGAGCTTTTTATTTATTTATCTATTTATGTATTCATTGGGTTTTTCCAGACAGGGTTTCTCTGTGTATCAGCTCTTGACTTTCCTGAGGAACTTTTTCTTTTCTTCTTTTTTCTTTTTTTGTTTTTGTTTTTTTGAGACAGGGTAGGAACTTTTTCTTAATTAAATCATTTGGAGTTACTACCCTATTGTAATCTGGATTTTTTTCTTTTATTTTGGTTTTCTGAGACAAGGTTTCTCTATATTACAGTCCTAGCTGTAACTGGAACTTGCTCTGTAAGACTTGAACTCACAGAGATCTGCCTGCTTCTGCCTCCCAAGTGCTGGGATTAAAGGTGTGCACCACCAGTATCTGGTTTAATATGAATCTTTTGAGATGGAAAGATCCACCTTTAATCTGGGACACATCTTCTGGCATCCTATAAAAAAGAACATGGAAGAAGGATGTTGCCTGCTTGCTTGCCAGTTTCACTGGCAAGTCTTTTTTCCTTTCCCTTCCCTTCCCTTCCCTTCCCTTCCCTTCCCTTCCCTTCTCTTCCTTTCCTTTTCTTTCCTACTTCTTCAGTATTCTGGTGTATACTGAAGACCATCTGAGACATCAACTTCATGGAGTGAACACCTACTGGATTCTTGCACCTTCCAAATGGTCATTGCTCAGCAGTTTATAACACTCCTTCTTTTTTTTTAAACATCAATTCCTGTCTTTTTATTTATTCATACATAATTACTTGTCTTCTGGCTTGTTGAAGCAGTAAGTCAGACAGCACTTGCCACAATAATGTCTGTCAAAGTGGCTAGCCATTATAACACTCCTTCTTGAAGAAGACCTGGATCTGATTCCCAGCAATCACATGGTGACTCAACAACCATCCATAACTCCATTTCCAGGGTAGTCAATGCCCTCTTCTGACTTCTAGGGCACCAGGAATGCACATACAAACATTCATACACTCCAAGTGGTGGTTGTGCACACCTTTAATCCCAGCACTCAGGGGGCAGAGACAGGCGGATCTCTGAGTTTGAGGCCAGCCTGGTCTACAGAGTGAGTTCCTGGACAGCCAGAGCTACACAGAGAAATCCTGTCTCAAAACAAGAAAAACATTGATAAACATGAAGTCAATCTACAGAGATACTTGTGGCCAGGCATGGTGGTACATGCCTTTAATCCCAGGACTTGGAAGAGGGAATAGGATCCTTGTGAGTTTGAGATAGCCTGGTCTACATGTTTTAGTACAGCTAGGACAGCGTAGAGATCCTGCCTCCAGAGGCATGGTTTGTCTTCTGGAAAGAGATCTTAAATTCTAAAAGTGTGTCAGACCACCTTACAGGATATACTGACCCACATAATGATGGGTCAATAATTGAACCACACCTTTTTTTTTTTTTCTTGCATCTCTGTTGAAGCCAGAAGAAAGCATAAGTTCCCCTGGACCCCTGGATCTAGAGTTACAGGTGTTATTAACAGCTGGATGCTGGGAATCAAACCTGGGAATAAAATCCATGTCCTCTAGAAGACCAGCCAGTGTTTTTTTTTTTTTTTAAAAATATTTATTATGTATACAATATTCTGTCTGTGTGTCTGCCTGCAGGCCAGAAGAGGGCATCAGATCTCATTTCAGATGGTTGTGAGCTGTCATGTGGTTGCTGGGAATTGAACTCAGGACCTTTAGAAGGGCAGGCAATGCTCTTAACTGCTGATCCATCTCTCCAGTCCCCTGTTGTTTGTTTGTTTGTTTGTTTTTTGAGACCGGGTTTATCTGTATAGGCAGACTGGCCTCAAACTCATCATCCTGCCTCGGCCTCCCGAGTGCTGAGATTAAAAGTATGTACCGCCACCGAATGACATGGCATCTACTCTTGATTTAGAGTTTTGAGTTATTTGTGTAACCAGCCAGGAAGCTATTAGGCTGAGAGAAAAGTGGGAAGAAGAGTTCATGAAGAAGGGAACAGCTTTGCAGGGTCTACTCAGTGGTAGATCCAGTCAGAGAAAAAAAAAGTCTGGGGGGAGAAAAAGGCCAGTGTCTGATATGGAAGGTTAGCAGAGGTGACAAGGACAACAGAGCACACAGCACACGCAGGATATGAGGTGGGCTAGGCCTGGGCTTAGCGTCTATATAATTCCTTTATAAGACATCTTGGCCCTGCACACCCCACAGCTCAGCCTCCGGGGCGACCTCAGTCTCCTGTGCCCTGGAACTCAGAAGCAGGGAGTCATCCTCCAGGAAGTCGCCCAACTGTGCCAGCTGCCGGCGGATGAAGTTGGTGGTGCGGTGCACCCGGCGCACACGCCTCAGCAGGCTCAGTAGCAGGGTCTGATTGCGCTCGTGGCGCTGTGCCCAAGCATCACGTAGCTCACGGTAGCAGTTGTGTTGCTCGCCCTCAGAGGCAGCCAGAGTGGCTCCACAGCCTAAGGGGCAGCGCTGCTGGCCATCCTGCTGGCAATGCTGGCGGTGTTCATCTAGGACCCCACGCAGAACCCGTGCAGTGCAGCCCTCATTGGGGCAGGTCATCAGCTCGAAGGGGCATGAGTTATGGTGACCCTTGCGATGAGCCAAAGGGCATGTCACCAAGCAGCCAGCTGCAGCGTTCTTGCACTAGGGAGTATAAGAAAGCTCAGTGTGAATTAAACTAGGTTAAGGCATTGTCACGTGGGGCTCCTATATAATCTCTAACCTATGATATCCCCTGACAGGGAAACAAGTGAATTCTGGAGCCTCCTATGCTTTCTGTTTGCTTGCTTTTTTTTTTTTAAATATTTATTTAACTTTATTTTATGTGCATCGGTGTGAAGGTGTCAGATCCCCTACAACTGGATCTTCAGACAGTTGTGAGCTGCCATGTGGGTGCTGGGAATTGAACCCGGGTCCTCTGGAAGAGCAGTCAGTGCTCTTAACCACTGAGCCATCTCTCCAGTCCCCGCTTTTTGGTTTTTCAAGACAGGGTTTCTCTGTAGCTTTGGAGCCTGTCCTGGAACTAGTTCTTTTAGATCAGGCTGGTCTCAAACTCAGAGATCCTCCTGCATCTGCCTCCTGGGTGCTGGGATTGAAGGCGTGCACTACCACTACCACTGCCTGGCTTGCCTCATAAGCTTTTTATTGATTTTTGGAGACAGGGTTTCTCTGTGTACCCTTGACTGTCCTGGAACTTGCTCTGTAGACCAGCTGGTCCTCTCAAACTCAGAGATCAGCCTGCTTCTGCCTCTCCAGTGCTGAGATTAAAAGTGTGCACCACCATACCTTGCTGCCTGCTAACTTTTGTGATTCCAAGTTTCTCCATTTTGTAAGTTAGAGGGCAGAAGAGAAAGGGCTAGTGACCAGGCACTTCACCTCTGAAATTCATTTATGATTCCCACATTACACCTGAAGTTCCAAGGAACCCAGGAATAAGCAGCTTGCCCAGTCACACAGCAAACGGTAGACCCTTAATTCACGTCTTTAACCATGTCTATGGCCTTTGTCTTCTACTCGATTCTGACAAAGGGCTTCTTGACAACTCTTCTGGCTCTGCTCCACCCCCCAGGACAGGAGTGGACGGATGCCCTGAGCTACCTTGACTTGTAGACGGCCAATGGTTTTCCGGAGTTTATTCACTTGGACCATCTTTCTTCTTTTCACCTCTTGTCTACAGCATGGACAGGTGTTTTGTCTAGAAAGAGGTATCAGTGTGATGTTGTAAGTGGTAAAGTCATGTGACTGCCAGAGCAAGCTTTCATGGGGGCAACCCAGCTAGTCCCTTCTTTCTGGCTGGAGAAGACATAATGGGGGGGGGGGGCTAGAGTGAGAACGTGGCTCCCAAGCTGAGGCTAGGGACTTCAGACACGAGAGAGGGAGGCACACACATTCTGAGTGTCCCAGATTTTGCAGCTGAGTCTTATAGCCATTGGAACCCAGTTTTGGGTAGACCGTCCCTTCCCATTCTTGGCTGCAGGAGTTGTCCCCCCACCCTCCTGGATTCCTAATGGCACCTGGCTAGCCACTGGAAGATGCACTTTTTGCAGAAGATGTGACTGCATGGCAACCTCATTGGCTTCTTGAGAACCCCATGGCAGACGGAACACAGGAAGTTGTAGTCAGGAGGGCTGATAAAGAGGTTGAGATCGTACCCACCACTCTGCAAAGACCAGGTCAGTGTTAAGGCCTGGGCATGAGATCCAGGCCCCCCGCCCCCAAGCACTCATACCAACAAGATACTCCAGCAATTTTTTGGTAGGGAGGCAGGCTACATGAAGAAACTCAATTATAGAGCCTCCAAGGACCAGACCCCACTTCAAGGGTGAACCTACGGGAGTTGACTCCCCCAAGATTTGACTGAAGAGGCTGGGGATAGCTCAGGTTATACCACCTAGAGCCTTCTGAAAGGTTTTCTTGTCCCATAAAGCAGCTGGCATTCATTCTCAAGTGTGATATGGCATGGATTCCTGATGGCTGGGCAGCTAGAAAGAGACCAGGGGCTCACCATGATCTGTGTCTGGACGGCAGCGCCACTGAGGCAGAGAGTTCAGGAGTCTCCATTTCACAGCATATGGGAATTGACATCACAGTGGCATTGTCTAGCTTTGGCCAATCACAGCTCTGGTCCAGGACCACCTTACCCTTTCCCTCTGAAGGTGGTAGAGTAGCCTCAACTCTACCCTGTCTACAGAATCTTTCCCTGGCAGCCTAGGTTTTTGCTGACAGTTTCCCCAAGGCCAGCAGGATCACAGGGATTGAAGCCTCCTCTATTAACATCCCTTCCCAAGGACTAGGCCATCCTGTGAAAGAGCCCAGGTTTTTCAACTTAACTGTAAAACCAAGAAACAAAAAAGGCCTTGGGGAGATATGTTTTGGTTTTTTGAAGATAGGGTTTTTCTGTGTAGCCCTGGCTGACCTCAAACTCAGAGATCCACATGCCTCTGCCTCCCAAGTGCTGAGATTAAAGGCGTGCACCACCACCACCACCTGGTTAATAAGTTTTAGTATACGTGTTGTAATTTTTTCTTTACTATAACAGTCTCCATATTAGTATAGAGATCACACTGGTCAAATAACCATCACTAAGCAGAACATAAAGTAGGCCTACGGGAACAATACTGGAGCCGCTGACATTCATGGGTAATCCCCTCCTTCAGCTACAGGCTGTCTTGGGAGATTCCAAAGTATACATAAAAGTAACTACAAAGGTCACTTCACCATGCAGCTTCTAGGTCATCTTTGATGGGGTACAACTGCTGCTGTTTGGGGTCCGCAGATGCTCAGTGAAATGAATATTGGTTCACGCTGGGCGGTGGTTGCTCACGCCTTTAATCCCAGTACTCGGGAGGCAGGTGGATCTTTGTGAGCTCGAGGCCAGCCTGGTCTACAAGAGCTAGTTCCAGGACAGGTTCCAAAGCCACAGAGAAACCCTGTCTCAAAAAATCAAAAATAGGGGGCTGGAGAGATGGCTCAGTGGTTAAGAGCACTGCCTGCTCTTCCAAAGGTCCTGAGTTCAATTTCCAGCAACCACATGGTGGCTCACAACCATCTTTAATGAGGTCTGGTGCCCTATTCTGGCCTTCAGGCATACACACAGAAAGAATATTGTATACATAATAAATAAACATTAAAAAAAACAAAAAATAAACAAATATTGGTTCACAAAGTTTAACTTCAGTGTAGTCACATAATTTGGCCATCACTGGTGCCCTATTTGGTGTGGACAGATGTCTCCCTAGGGAAAAAAAAAAAGATGCCAACACATTTTTTCAAGACTACTTTTTGCATAGGTGGTCAGGTCAATTAAAAAAAAATTATATATACAGTGTTCTGTCTGTAGGCCAGAAGAGGGTGCCAGATCTCATTACAGATGACTGTGAACCATGTGGTTGCTGGGAATTAAGGATTGTTAAAATCCATGCCTTCATTGAATACAGACCAAGACCCGACCTCCAAACATACAAAAAGCTATGCCGGGGCTGGAGATGGCTTAGAACCGGAGTTCTTTCAAAGGACCTGGGTTTGTTTTCCAACAGCCACATGGGCGCTTTCAACTACACGAAACTCCAGTTCCACAAGATCTGATGTCTTTAGAGACGCACATGGTACACATACATACATGTAGGAGAAATAAAAACACACTTAAAAAAAGCTGGTTTTGAAAGAAATCCAACTGCGTCGGCCATCCAGATACTGACTGCTGGGACCAATACACCTGGCCACGAATGCATATTTCACTTAAACTGAAAGGAACCCCTCCCCCCAAAACATAAAATACATACACGGAAAGTTAAACCTCTTTATTTAACAGGACGCTGGAACCCTGCCATTTTCCCGGGCGAAGCAGCGGTAGTAGCATCCAGATCCGGGGCAATCTGTGAAGAAATGACGTGGTTAGCATCGATGGCACCAGCCAGGCCGCCAGAGCGGCGAGGCGATCCGGAATGTAGGGGCCTGGGTTTCACCCTCCCACACTGGGGCAGCGGGCGGTGAGCTGAGGCCCCTGTGGCTCTGGGCGCCGAATCTCACCTCCGGCCACAGCCAAAGCCGAAGATGATTTTCAACGAACGCCCATTTACCGGGCCAACAGCGAACGGGGCTAGCGGCCGGTGAGGCGCAACTTACCTGGCAGACGGTCCGGCGCGACACAATCGTGAGCACTACGGGGCCCGAGAGGCGCCCGCGCGAGGTCTTTATAGGCCCTCCCCGTCGGTGCCCGTGGCGGCTTCGGCGAGGGAAAACGCGTAGGCGCAGAGAGAACGTGGCGGGGGCGGGCTAATACTCAGCCAATTACAGCTTGGGATGATCTGCGTCGGCAGTCGAGATATCGCGGCGCTTGGTGCACTATAAAAACTCCCTTCCGCGCACCCTCGCTCTTCTTCTTCTTCTGGAAGACACGTGAGTCTGTGTGGTTGTGCCGCGGGTGTGGGCCCTGGGCAGTGGAAATCCGAGGGCATCCGGACCAAGACACCCGTAGCCGGAAAGACCAGTTCCGGAATCCCAAGCGATCGCTGAGTTGTTTGCTTTTGTCTCTCTCTAGCAATGGCGGATGACGCCGGTGCAGCAGGAGGGCCCGGAGGCCCCGGGGGCCCAGGATTAGGAGGCCGTGGCGGCTTCCGCGGAGGATTCGGTAGCGGTCTGAGGGGCCGCGGCCGTGGTCGAGGCCGTGGCCGTGGCCGAGGCCGCGGGGCTCGCGGAGGTAAAGCTGAAGACAAGGAGGTAGGTCTGGGCCGTGGGCGGGGCGGGCCACGCGTTCTCTTGCATGAGGCAGCCTTTTTTGACTGGCGTCTTTCTGCAGTGGATTCCCGTCACCAAGCTGGGCCGCCTGGTTAAGGACATGAAAATCAAGTCCCTGGAGGAGATCTACCTGTTCTCCCTGCCCATTAAGGTACGAACGTCGCTTGGGGTGGGAAGTTGCTATCTTGATGAACCACTCGATACCTCCTTTGCCATCTAGTGACAGTGATCAAGCTTGACATGTTTCCCACAAACTTTCTGTTTTAGGAGTCCGAGATCATTGACTTTTTCCTGGGAGCATCCCTAAAGGATGAGGTTCTGAAGATCATGCCCGTGCAGAAGCAGACTAGGGCAGGCCAGCGGACCAGGTTCAAGGTATTCAAGTCTGTTCTTTGGCAAGGTGGAGGTTTAAGATTAAATGGGGCTGAGCAAAACTCTCTCACTCTGCATAGTCACACTAGGTTTCACCCGTGTGACTTTCGTACCGGGAGAGAGAGGAAAGGAGTTCCTCAAGTACCTTTGATTGGCCTCTCAGTGGCCTCTCTTGCCTAGAGGAGCACCACAGATCCTAGTCGAGATAAGCTGGTTCTGTGAAACACCACCAGCCATTCCACCTAAGTCTCTTCACAGGCTTTCGTCGCTATTGGGGACTACAATGGTCACGTAGGTCTCGGTGTTAAATGCTCCAAGGAGGTAGCCACTGCCATCCGAGGGGCCATCATCTTGGCCAAGCTTTCCATTGTCCCTGTGCGGAGAGGCTACTGGGGGAACAAGATTGGCAAGCCCCACACTGTGCCTTGCAAAGTGACAGGCCGTTGTGGTTCTGTGTTGGTGCGTCTCATTCCTGCCCCCAGAGGCACTGGCATAGTCTCCGCTCCTGTGCCCAAGAAGCTACTGATGATGGCTGGCATTGATGACTGCTACACATCAGCCAGGGGCTGCACTGCCACCCTGGGCAACTTTGGTAGGTGGATCACGCACAGGTTGTGGGTTCTTGGTGTGTTTTTAAGGGATGGAGAGCAGACCTGTCACCAAAGTGACTGACTCTGCTGCTAGGAGTGCAACCGTTCCTTAGTGGGAGGGACTTTTTTTTATCTTCAAAAATCAAGCCACCAACCCTTTTCACATTTTTCTAGCCAAGGCCACCTTTGATGCCATCTCTAAGACCTACAGCTACCTGACCCCCGACCTCTGGAAAGAGACTGTGTTCACCAAGTCTCCTTATCAGGTATACTGATTCAGCTGGTGGTATGTTGGCTGGCTTTGACCTTCAAGAATAGGGAATGTGTCGTATTAATATTCTACTTCTCTTTTTAGGAATTCACTGACCACCTAGTGAAAACCCACACCAGAGTCTCTGTTCAGAGGACCCAGGCTCCAGCTGTGGCCACCACATAAGGGTTTTTATACAAGAAAAATAAAAGTGAATCAAGTCTGTTAACATTTGTCTCTATTTGCATTTATTTAGTGGGCACTAAAATAGGCGAGGCGCACCCAGTCACTTTATTGGAGTCCTTAGGCAGCAGCCGTTTGCTTGGCAGCCTTTCTCTCTTCCAGCATCCTCTGCTTCTGCTTTGCCAAGCACTTTCTGGCAGAATAATAGGCTCCCAGGTCATAATCTGTAGAAGAGATTGGGTGGAACATGGGAATTTGGGTGAGGTTTTAGCGGCTAGGAAAAGCCATAAGAAAGATTCCCAAACCCTGGAAAGAGCTGAAGGTTACTCACAGCGGTCATGGAAGGCTTTAGCCACCTTGGTGTACTGCTCCAGTTCCTTGGCACAATTCTGCTTCGAGCTCTCTCCTTCTCTCTGTTGACAAGCCTTAAGTCTCTCCTGGATGATGTTCATAATTTCCTGGTCAACTTTGCTGAAAGAACAAGGGTTAGAGAATTTGAAGGGATGGTGGCTTGTCCCAGACTGTCTGGGATCTTTACAGGAAGGGGGTGTACTGGGTAAGGCCATCCAGTCGATTGTCCCCTGCTGTGAACTTACTAGTCCCTTTTCCATTGCATCTCTGCCTCATAGATACACAGGATATCACCCTCTTTGCATTCCGTGATGTCTGGCACACGTCGGTACTGCCGGTGATAGTAGTAGGTCCGGTTCTTGGCATGCTGTCGCTCAATAAACTCTGCAAAGAAAACACCTAAAATTCAAGGCCTGTCTACCTAGACAGGCGTCTAAAGTTCCAAGGTTTTCCAGTAACAGGCAGTCCTATGGAGGACTGGCTGGAGTGGTTAAGAGAGACTTGGGTATTGAACACAGTTGGGCCTACAGAACAGTACAGAATGGGTTTGAATAGGCAAGGAAGCTCCATTGGGAATTTAGCAGTAGGACCCAACGGTTTCCACTGGTAAGTTAAAGAGCACAGGGTTCACAAACCCATTTAGACATCCTAAGATGTTACAAAAAAGTGAGCTGACCTTAATGCTGTAATCCACCTGGCACTGGCTTGAAAACTTTTCCTAAGCCAAGGACCACCTGTAAACCAGGGGCAGTGACTTGTCTGGGAAGCTGACAAAGGTATTTGCTATATTGTCCTGGACAATAACGAAGGTGCTGTATCACAGAGAATCTACCTTAGCAGAGCCTCAACCACCTGAGTATACTCTGTACCCCAAATGCTTAACAGATGAGCCACTTAGTCGACTGGACATAGTGCCCAGCATGTCCCAACTG